AGCTTGGCTTCACATTACATATAACGGTGTTCAGAAGGACTTTATTTCAATGGAAGCAGGAGACTATGTTAAACTCTTGACATCAGGGTGAATTGTATCACCTACACAGCAGAGTCTTTTTTGCTCTTCTATTATTTGTATTTTTTTGCACTCCTTGAATTACTTCGCCTAGATTTTGTGGACTTCTTAAAATTTACTTCTGTATTAATGTGCTTCTCTGTTTTGATGCTCTGACTGGGTTAGAGTTTCTGTTTATTTCATTTTATTAGTGTTATCTCTTCGGCTTTACATGCTACACTGTTACATTACTTGTTACAAGTCTTTAAAAGGTAAGGGCATTATATTTACTATTGTGTGCAGACTGTTTATCAGTCTTGGTAATTTTGTTGGTTAGTTCAGCTTAGTGGATTGTGAGAGTAAGCAGAACATGCAAGTGCTTTGAAGGATGTAATGTTATTTAATTGCGAGTCTGTTTTTAGAGGATTTAAACCTAACATGGTGAACAAATTATATTCTAGGATGCAGGCAATTTTACTGGGGTTATCTCATACAGTGTAGCAAGTAATAATCTGGAAAGACCTCTGTAATATCACAGTCTAAAACTGGATTTAAAGAGAAACAAATTAGTAAATGAATCATACGTAAATGAATCACATGAACATCTTATTTAGTTCTGTGTCATCTCATGTGGTTAGTGTGTTGTTTTATGTAGCACAGTAGTCCTAGACGAACGGTGATTCATTTCACTGTGTATGTACCAACTGTATATGGCAGAAATGACAATAAAACCACTTGAACTTGAAAAAAAAAAAATCCGAGACTGGATTGAGCAAATGCTGATGTTTAGAGGCAGGCCATACGACTACGAACTTATTTCACCATAACAATACAGTACGTTTTCTCAGGTAGGCCTATTAGTAGTGTTCAAGAAATACTATGGAAATTGAATAAACCAATTAAACGTAAAATGAAACAGACTTCACTGAATGATATATACAGTGATTATTATTAAATTTAATGAAGTTATTCAGGGGGCGCACCGGTACTCTGGTTTCCTCCCCCAGTCCAAAGACATGCATGGTAGGCTGATTGGTGTGTCTAAAGTGTCCGTAGTGTATGAATGGGTGTGTGAGTGTGTATGTGATTGTGCCCAGCGATGGACTGGCACCCTGTCCAGGGTGTACCCCACCTTGTGCCCCATGCTCCCTGGGATAGGCTCCAGGTTCCCCCGTGACCCTGAGAAGGATAAGCGGTACAGAAGATGATGGGTGGATGGATATTCAGTCTAAGGTGTGAGAAAGTGATTTTCTCAGTCTTTAGTTGTGTGATGAACATTAATGACACAGACAGCAGCAGGTTTATTAGACTGCTGTCACTTTAAGACTTCATGCACAGATCCAATATACTGTATTGACACACCTCCGATTTTCCCCCAACTATTTACATTCACTTAAGACATAACCAGCTGTGTTTGCATGAATCCTCGACCAGACCTGCATTTTGATATGATGTGTATGTATTTATTTGACCGTCCAAGCGTAATAATACACTAAAGACAGCTCAATTCGGTACTCGTACAATGAGGCATGCACAGAAGGCCTCCTGGTCAAGCATGGAGACATTCATTCATTTCTTATTATTGTTATGACGCGGCGAGATCAGCGTGACAATCCACCACGTGTAGTATCGCCTAGGGACATGGCGGATAAGGACTACACTTCCCTGTCACGCCCGTGCTTGAGTTCTAAGGACCTCCCAAGCTGCAGCCCGACGCGAAGTATTCGTCTAGCAGCTTCTGCTCTAATGTTACTGAGCTCCTTATATTTCTAGCATGAACGCTGTTTACAGAATATACGTTCTCTTACCAGTTGTGAGTATTGTCCGTCGGATTCCCTTCATTCCGCCGTCCAGCATTTGTCTCCATTCGCGTCGTGTCACAATTATCTTACGTTTATGCTGTTATTTATTTTGTATCTTTCTTTTCATGTTACACATAACCAAAAGTCCAAAATGTCCGAATCCGTGTCGAGTCCGAGTACAAATTTACCCGAGTGCGTGACAATTATAATTGGACTAGAGTCCAGGCTCAAGTACCTCAACTCTATTATAAAGTTTTCCCAAAAGATAGACTTCATATATCTAGTAAAGTTTATTCTACTGTTCACCTGCGGTCTTGTCATTCGGGTGATTTATTTATTTTATTTTTTTTTGATTTTTTGTTTCTTCATTGCAGGGATTTTATCTTAATCTTATGCTTTGTCCCATAAGACACAAAAAGCAAGGTTTAACTTGTATGTTCGAGGCATTCACATTTACTTTCGCACCGTGTGATGTGTGAATGACCATTATTACTGAGAGCGCACTCAACAATCAGCCTGGATCCCACACAAATAATTGGCCTCGAATTCCTAAAATTACCCGTGTGTGTAAATGAACTGGAAAACAAATGAATTTGGACCCCCCAAACAGATCTAACATGTTCAAGGACAAACAGGACTGATTAATTCTCTTCAATTATTTATTTATTTATTTTACTTATTATTATTATTTTTTGTGAGAAAATCACTCAGAAGTGCTACTTAGGAAGAGTAAAAGACTACTACTGTGGTCCTCTGTGATAGATCATAAACAGGATGTATATTTTAAGGTCAGGTAACAGTGAAGTAAATAAAAATCGACCCCAATATATATATATATATATATATATATATTACACAGTGCTGAAAAGTTTGCACACCCCTTGTAGAATCTGCTAAATCTTAATACTGTTAACAAAATAAGAGGAATCGTAAAAGTCCCATGTTTTTTTTTATTTAGTCCTGTCCTGAATAATCTATTTCATGTAACAGATGTTTGCAAGACAATATTATAGCTGAATTTATAAAAAAAGTTTACACACGCTCGATTATTATCCCATGTGTCGTTACCCGGACGATCCACGATGTGATGTTTTTATGTTCTGTGGGAGTTCTTCATTGTCCTGTTTGTGACTGCCCACTGTTCTACACAAAGATCCTCCAGGTCCTGCACATTCTTTACTTTTCCAGCATTTTCTGCATATTTGACCGCTTTCCAACAGCGGCTTCATGATGTTGAGATCCAGCTTTTCACACCGAGGATAGCTGAGGGACTCGTACACGACTATTCCAAAAGGTGCAAATATTCACAGATGCTCACGAAGGCAACACGATACTTTAAGAGCCAGGAGGGTGTAAACTTTTCAACAGGATGACCGGGTGTAAATTGTTAGTATTTTGTCGTGAATCAAAAAAAAATTAATAAAACAATTTACACTGTGGCCAAGATACGCAGTAAAACTTACGGGCTAATTTTTTAAAAATAAAATAAAAAAAGTATTTTCACATCAACTATTGACTCTTTATTACAGTTTACTGCTCTGAAAAGTATTTGTTGATATAGAAATATTTAATTGCATTATATTTTTGAAGGTGTCTTCGCTTAACGCTGTTTCTTTGCACGTGATCAAGAATTTTAAAAGTACTGTGCATTGACAATTGCACCTACATTCATTTAAAAAAAGCTGTAAATTATTACTAAAATATTAGTGAGAATGGTAAAAAATAAAATAAAACCAGTTCACAAACAAACAAACAAACAAACAAAAACCACATTTAAAAACAGTGAACTTGAAGTGTTCACAAATTTTACGAAACTTAGAAACGACGCAATTTATTCATTGTGCAATCGCTTCCTAATTTTTTTTTACGTAAAAATTATTTTTTAAAACTGTTACTTTGTTTTCTTGTCAGAATGTTCGGGCTTTTTTTGGCTGAAAACTCAAAGCACAGTGTTTGACCACATTGAGAACACAGTGTAACGTTTACTCATGTGAGATGGGAGGAAGAGGGCGGGGCTTACCGTCTGTCATTCCACATTCACGTCACTTGGCTCGATTTGATGCTTTTATCTGTGAAAAAAAGAAGGCTGCCGTATTTATAAGCGTTAACTCGTACTAGCGTACTAGCTCCTAGACAAAATATGCAAATGTCTTTAAGTCTGTTAACCTCCGTGCGACACTTTGCCTTTCATCTCCACATCATGCAAAACAAAGTGCTATGTGTTTTCCTCTGCTCTGACTCCAAAGCGTTTAGTCATCTACAATCATCCTGTGGAGATCTGAATCATCCCTGTTCAACAGCAATAACCAAAAGCAGCTACGTGGCACGTTGGAGCGACCCGGGACCGAATCCTTCATAAGGAGGTGCAACTGTTTAAGGCGAGGCGAGACACTAATTAATCCGGGAAAGTTTGCACATCGTAAGGCAGAAGGATAAGTCCATTAATTTTAGCCACCATGAGCCTGGGGGGGTGGGAGGGAGGTGTATGTGTATGTGTGTCGGGGGTGGGGGGTGGGTTTTGCGAAGGTCACACATGACAGCGTTTTAAGCCTCCGACATAATGAGAAAGGAAAGGACATGAGTGTGTGCGTGGACGCGGCACTTATTAAGAAGACGGGAACGAGGCCAGAGCTTTAGTGCAGCTTCTGTGTGTGAGTCAGAAGGAGATAAGCTATGTGGGGTAGGTTGAGTGAGAAAAGACAGATTGTGTGTGTGTATGTGTGTGTTAGCGAATGAATAAGTGTGTGTGTGAGAGAGAGAGAGAGAGAGAGAGATACAGCCTGTAGTCCTGTAACATCCTGTGACCTTTTCATTTCCACCATATGTGATCCATGCTGTAGCTGGGCAGGAGTAGAGCTGACCATTACGTTTATGCACTCGCTCTTTCTCTATCTAAGATATGGAACTCGCATCCAGTGCTTCCTTTCATCTACGTGATGAAACGGCTTCGCCGCTCAAAGTTGACACGGTGTGGAAAGTTTTATTGTGCCTCAGTGTTTCGCTTAGCTGTGGTATCGAGGGATTTAGCCGCATCGCTAGTGAAGTTATTATATCTCAAGTGGTGAGGTGAGGAGAAAAGTTTTCATAAATAAACACTAGCTCGTGATTAAGTCATTTTTGAAACGCTGTTGAATTTTTAAGAGCACAGTGGCTTAGTGGTTAGCACGTTCAACTCACACCTTCAGTGTCGGGGGTTCGATTCCCACCGGGGCCCTGTGTGTGCGGAGTTTGCATGTTCTCCGCATGCTGCAGGGGTTTCCCCCGGGTACTCCGGTTTTCTCCCCCAGTTCAAAGACATGCATGGTAGGCTGATTGGCGTGTCCATAGTGTATGAATGGGTGTGTGAGTGTGTATGTGATTGTGCCCTGCAATGGACTGGCACCCTGTGCAGGGTGTACCCGATGCCCGATGCTCCGTGGGATAGACTCCAGGTTTCCCTGTGACCCTGAAAAGGATAAAGCGGTATAGAGGATGGAAAGGAGTCTCCAGTGTCAGAGCTTCGTAGCAGTCAGAGGTAAAGCTTGCAGTTGAAAAACCATAAGCTGTGTTATTCTGTTTTTTTGTTTGTTTTTTTTTTGACTTATTCGTTTTCTATGTCTTTTTTTTTAATAAATTTTAAGAAATTAATTGTTGGTAAATTGTTGTAGTATTAGAAGAATAAGACATTGCAGGACATCCTGTTAATGTTACAGTGAGAAGAGTAACTACGCTTCATCACACTATGTCGGAAAACATTACAAACTGCCGACACTTGAGACTCCTTCCACCCATCCATTCATTTCCCACACTCTGATCCTACACAGGGTCGCGGGGAGCCAGGAACCGATCCCAGAGAACTCGAGAAACAAGTTGGAGGACACCATGAACTCATCTCAGGGCACAACTGAACACACAATCACACATTACGGACAATTTGGAAATGCCTACAGCACGTGTATTTGGGTTGGGGGAGGAAACCGGAGTAGGAGGACCCGGAGAAAACCCGTGGAGAACATGCAAACTCCACACAAACAGGGCAGAGGTGGGATTTGGACCTACAACCCCCAAAAGCTTCTATAAATGTTAAATAAACATCTCCTTTCAGAATATTTCAGTTCTGTTCATTCCGGATCAATACTGTATGATATAAAAAGCTGATAACGCTTGAAGTCAGCAGCAGCAGCTTCAAGTGGTTTGACTGTGACTAAATAATTAGGTAAAACTCACTAATTATATGCATCCTGCTTATCTTCTTCTCTCTCTCTCTCTCTCTCTCTCTCTCTCTCTCTCTCTCTATATATATATATATATATATATATATATATATATATATATATATATATATATATATAAAAAAAAAAAAAAAAAAAAAAAAATAGATAGATAGATATCATTGATCCCATGATCCCATTGCAGAAACATTACCCTCTGTTTTTTTCCCCAACAGTGTGTTCTGCATGACCTCTATCTTAGCTGCATGAGAATATATTAGCGTATCTTTTAGACATTCCTTAGCGTGCCAAATGCGAGTTACACTGCTTGACTTTTGTAGGTGAGAATGAACACATTAGCTGCCAATAAGTTCTCATTTGTGGCCGACCCTGGAAAGGATTCCGCATGAGTGAATTAAAACCTCGATCAATCCTGCATGCAAAATCAGTATTTACATATTCGGTCTGAGGAATATGAATAAAGTCGTGTGAAACCTCTACTGAAACCCGTCTGTTGTATTAACCTTACCGGTTAATAACATTTATGTATGAGATGGATTGCAAAATATAAACTACGGGGGAAGAAAATCTAGTATCTTCCAGCTAATCAGGATGTCAAAACACCATTTTTGTGAGATTTTTTTTATTACATATAGCTCTAAAATAAACCACACTACAGACTATGTTTGTTTTACGCTTGTATCAACTTCAATCTGAAGGAAAGTTCTAGCATTTTATAAGTAAAAAGATAGAAAATCCTCGACATTCCACGATTTCATTTCAATTCCACTGAAAGGAACGACCTAATCAACCGATTCTACAACATTGATGACAATTTTCTCTTCTCGTCAACCGAGATATCAGTCGTTTGCGGCGTATAAACACAAGTCTCATTATCGTCCCTTCACGGAAAAAACATCGCTGAGTCATTCACCTACATCTGTTCCATGGGATAAAGTTCTTGCTCGTAATGTCTTGTCTTTACTGGAGGTCATTCAAACATTTTAAAACTGTATAAAGAGTGTACTTTTAAAAGAGTTTGTTATTTCTATGATTTGATGATTTAATGTTGAATGGTGCAGGAGCACAGCAGCCATTTTGGCAGCCATTTTATCTGGTTGTAAAGTGAATTGATTAGGTTGATCTAGCTGTATAACTATCCCAAACCTTGATCGAATCACTTTACTAGCCTGCAAGATTTTCCGACATTTTTAGTTAGACTGACTTTTTTTAACCATTAATTTTGTTCAACTGTTTGATTTTAGTAAGACACCAAATGAAAGCTAAGAAATTATCTTAAAGAAATATTTTTGTAAGTGAATATTTATGTATATTGTGAATAATATGTATGTTCTCATATCTCATAACGTAGAGAACCTTTAAAGAATTTCCCAGACAACCAAACATATATTATGATCGATTAACGACCGGCGCTTAGTGTCGCGAGGCTCAGGGTCCCTTCCTGGAACCTTCACACTAACTGTCCCTCAGTGGTGGAATGAACTTCCAACCTCAATCCGGAACACAGAATCTCTCACCATCTTCCGTGAACACCTAACCAACCCCTAAAACACCAACCCCCACATTATCCTAAAAAACAAAAAACAAACAACAAAAAAAAACACTTAGTCTGCTCACTTTGCTTCTTCTCAAACTCAATTAAAAGATCTTGTATGGTAGCACTGCTTGGATTGTTCTCCACTTGATATATCGCTTTGCTTGTATTTAGTCATTTGTAAGTCGCTTTGGATAAAAGCGTCCACTAAATGAATAAATGTAAACGTAAATGTTAATGAGTCAATTTAGTGACGATATAGAAACGGCTTGAATCGTCTGGCTCATGTGCCTACACATCCACTACAGGTCAAAACACATCCACTGAGTGTCTTATTTAAAAGGTACCAAAGTCTGTTATACTCATATGTACAGTATGGGAGTTTTTACATAACTGAAAATCCTGTTTGTTTGTGTACAGCTTACAAGATCAAAGGCATTGATGTAACTCTAAAAGGTACAATGTAGACACCAAAAAATCACCCAAAAATGTATTCCATGAAACTTTCAGGTGTTTTATTTATTATTATTATTATTATTATTATTATTATTATTATTATTATTATTATTATTTATTATTTTTTAAATTATTATTATTATTATTCAATCGTTGCCTTGCTGTTGCTGCTCAAACCGTCAGGAAAACCTCCTCATCATGAGTGATTTATTGCCGATCTGCTGTCCATCACTGCACACATGGACGCGCCGTCTGCTGATCGTCGAAGAGAATCAGCTTATGAGCTGTAGAGGGCGTCAGAAAGACTCATCCAGACACTGAGATCATAAACACACAGCAAAATATACATACACATGTACATGAATCAAAGAGTTGGAGTGGGGTTTGTCACAGAGAGAGAGAGAGAGAGAGTGAGAGAGAGATAATATAGCAAGATTAATATATCACTTCTACACAAACACAAACTGCAGCCTAAAGCAGTGGGAATGTGTTAGTGTGTGATTGATGGAGTGATAATGAGCTGAGACTGTTCATGGTCGGACACTTTCAGATACATAAATCTGCAGCCAGGCCCGTGTGTGTGTGTGTAAAAGGGATGTTTCTGTCAAGTGTCTTTTACACTCACTCCCAAGTAAAAAGACACAATATTGATATATGTTGTTGCAACAAAGCTGGAAGCGCACAATTGTATAGGATGGCATGGCATTACAATTTCCTTTCACTGGAACTAAGAGATGACCATGTAGGATAAGTGGGATAGAAAATGGATGGATGGATGGATGGAAGGAAGGAAGGAAGGAACTGTTCCAGCAAATGCACAAAATGAGCTCCAGGAAGACGTGCTGTGTGAAGGGTAGAAGAAGGTAGAAGAACTGGAGTGTCCTGCACAGAGCCCTGACTTCAACCCCACAGAACACCTTTGGGATGAACTAGAACTGGAGCCTCCTCACCAAACACCAGTACCTGACCTGAATATCACAAATGCTCTTGTAGCTGAATGAACCCAAATCCCCACAGCCACGCCCCAAAATCTAGTGGAAAGCCTTCCCAGAACAGTTGTGCGCATTATAACAGCAAATAGGGAATACATCTGGAATATATATATTATAATGCCAAATTATCATGTAAAGCACGCCAGTGTTTTTGTTATTATATCCAAAAGAGATAATAAGCCACTTCATTAGCATTCATAACAAAGAGGCCATCTGCTGGGCTTTATCTACACACAGATAATTCTGCACATTAATGTGTATCATTGTACAGGTTTAAATCGATTCTGCCACTTGTGAGACATGAAGCCACTCTTTATCTCTCATCTCCAACATCCACTTACTTCAGTCTGCATGGTTTATCAGTCCGTGCTTTTAAACCATAATCTCCTCCAATGCCGAACATCCCGCTGCACATCCACTCCAGCGTATTTACCATAAATACAGCATTTAGTAAAGAGGCTAATCCCCACAGGTGAGTATCCACAAACCTTAGTCAAATCCGAGTCAACAAAGAAAGATTCAATTAGAAAGTAATAGTTTGTGGATAAATAAGTTCTTGGTGTAGAAAGTTTGGTAACTAGAGTGCATAGTGAATTTATAACATATTGGAATTTTGAAAGCAGTGCTGGACAAGGCTTGTGTGAAAACATGTACAATTATATTGTAGGTTGTTTCTCAGTGGTTAAGATGTTGTACTGCTGATCGTTAGGTCATGAGTTCAAACTCCAGCAACACCAACCGGCCACAATTGGGCCCTTCACCCTGAACCACTCAGGTGTAAGACGCTCTGGATAAGGACGTCTTCAAAATGCCATACATTTAAATGTAAAACCGATAAAAAGGAAAAAGGAAGCAGAAACGATTACTATCACAGTGTTTGCAGATATTCCTATGTTACAATTCATCGTTATTTCTAATTTAAGATAAAGCCTGCAATGATGGTAGACCAAATATGTTACAAAATATTTTTTGAAAAGATGACGTGTTTTAGTAAAAAAAAAAAAAGTAAAAACGTTTGCGA